CACAAGTATAATTATAACGTAACATAGACTATATCGATATAAAGGATATTGTCACATCTTATATCTCGTATGAAAATATATCAATATTTTTTAAAAACTCGATATATCGCCCAGCCCTAACTCCGACTCCACCATCTTTAACTGCAGCTGGTGACTGTCGTCCTGCTCTGCAGCCTCACAGTAGGTTCTCCAGAGCAGGAGAAGGACCGGTGCTGCCAGGGATAGTTGCAGTGCAGCTGGGTTAGCAGGATGAGAAACTCCTGGTACAACCTTTTTTCAAGAGTGATTAGAAAGAGACATCAGTGATTGGCCAGTGCTGTGCCTCTCCTTCAGCCTCCTGTACTGATGTAGATTTCCAAACAAAACCAGCATGGCAGCTTGCTTGGAGGCTTTCTTGCAGGTTACTAAAACACAGAAAAAACACATTTGAGGTGCGAAACAAGCATCTCTGTGTTTATTCTCGTTTTTAGAGGAGTCACATAACCAGATTAGCTTGATTTGCATAAAATAGCCCAAAAAGTTAATGCAAATGAGGAGGTGGCGACTCCTCCACCCTGCTTGCATGTATGGTTTATTCATAGATTATGACGAGGAAGCGAGGAATTGTCACTTCCTGTGAGCGGCTGAATGACGTGAAAGACCGCCATCACAGCTTCCTGCACATCAAGCCAGGCAGCAGCGATTACATTTTCAAAATATAAGCAGCACTATTAAATCAATCCCCAGATATACTTTTGTCAGGCCAAAGGAAATTCTATATGTGGGAAACACTGTTTCAGCAAAATGGGGAAATGACACAAAGCCTGTATTTAATTGATTAACCGACAAAGTGAAATAAGCTGCAGAGTTATTGATCATTCTCAGGACTTTGAACAGTTTTATGTGCTGGTGTTGTTCCTGTGTTTTCCCAGGAAGCAGCGTAGTAGTGAGAAATCTTTACAGTGTAAAATGCTCCAGCAGTGTGTACAGATCAGCCCAGCACCTTACGAGTGACTCACATTCAGCTTCTATGTGTCGTGGTCTTAAACTGCTTTCGAGTCTCAAATGGACATTTAGAATTCACTGAGTAGACAAACACATCCGGCGGTGAGTTCTCCAGCTCAGATCTCGCTCCCGGACTCTTGTTTGCAGGTTAAGGAGCTCCTGACGTCGTTCGGGCCGCTCAAAGCGTTCAACCTGGTGAAGGACAGTGCCACGTCACTGTCGAAAGGTTACGCCTTTTGCGAATACGTAGACATCAGCGCCACCGATCAGGTAACGGCGATGAAGTGTTTCGGTGGGATCTTGAGCTGTGCCGTTTGGCTACAGGTGTGTTTGCTCTTCATCAGGCTGTAGCCGGGCTCAATGGGATGCAGCTGGGCGACAAAAAGCTGATCGTCCAGAGGGCGAGCGTGGGAGCTAAAAACGCCAATCCTGTGAGTACAAGTGGCAACATGAACCTGTGGTCTCATTTTTTGCATCATATGCACAGTCTGTGTATAAAAGAGGAAAGCTGCCAGTCACTGGTTTGGGATTCTGCACTTTGAGGCCTCAGCTTTAGCGTTTTTATGCTGTGTGTGCGCCGCAGACCTCCATCATAGAGACGCCGGTGACGCTGCAGGTGCCTGGGCTTCAGAGGCTCCAGAACTCTGGCATGCCCACAGAGGTGCTGTGCCTTCTCAATATGGTGATGCCCGAGGAGCTGGTGGACGACGAGGACTACGAGGAGATCCTCGAGGACATCCGCGAGGAGTGCTGCAAGTACGGCACTGTCCGCTCCATCGAGATCCCCAGGCCTGTCGACGGCGTGGAAGTACCCGGCTGCGGAAAGGTGATGTTTACTGTACATGTCCAGTGAGCCGCCATCGAGGGGGCGTTGGATTTATAGTGAGAAAATATATTCTAAAGCGTAAGTAGCATCAATTCTTCAGGACTCACCGGCGCTTTTTCGTTTCAGATCTTCGTCGAGTACGTCTCTGCTGCAGACTGTCAGAAAGCCATGCAAGCCCTCACTGGACGCAAGTTTGCCAACAGAGTGGTGGTCACCAAATACTACGACCCCGACATGTACCACAGACACGAGTTCTGAAAGCACAGACACGTCCCTCCTTGTTTTCCGTTTGTGGGCTGGGCGTCAGTCTGCTTCCCTCCTCCTCTGATCGTCGTGATCCTGTCCTTTAGAGACCAGAGCTGGAGCAGTTTTATTGCTGGACTGCAGTGTGTGTGTGTGTGTGTGTGTGCGTGTGTGTGTGTGTGTCTTCAGTACTAAATAACTTCCAGCTTTTGCCTAACACCCAGACTGTGAGTGAACTCATTCTGAACTTAAAAGATACTCTAGTATACATAACATTTGCCGTAGAATGAATGTGACATGTATCTTACCTACACTAATACTGCCTGACAATTTCAGAGTAGCTATCTATCAAGTATGCACTGTACGAGAAAAAAACAACAACCGTCAAATGTTTGGATTTTCTTCCTGAGCACAAACGTTCATGTCGGGTTTGAAAAGCCATCGTAATGTTTCTTCCGTGGCTTTGAGAAAAAGAAACGTGTTCATTTATTTATTTATTTATTTTTCGAGAGTAATATTTCCTGCTATATATGTCACATGTTAATGTTCCTTAAACATATACAGTGCTGTGTGCTGCTTACATAGACCAAATGTTGACTTGTTTCATGTCAGTAAAGCCTGAGTGGCGACTTTGTAAATACTATCAGAGATACATTCGATTGGCAAAACACTAAAAGCTGCCTTAATTCGAGAGTAATCAAAACCAGATTTGAAAAGTTTCAGCTGGAAACTTTTGATCAGACAAAGGGACAGTTGACCCATGGTTAAACCCTCCACCTGAGGGGTGTATGTTCTCATTTCCAACTCTGCACCTTTATTCTGGGACTCCACTAAAGCAGCTCTGCATGATTCTGTTCAAAAACACTGTTATTCACTTTCATCCTTTCTGTGAAACACATTGTAGATCCTGCGTCTTTAAGACACCCCCCCTTCCTTCCCAAAACGCTTACCTTATTCTGATTAGCCAATTTTGGGAAGCCTGCTGAGGGGCAGGACCAAGTTAGCTTTGTGAGCTGTAAGCTGTGCTGAACTGCTGTGACCTGTGAGTATTTATTCGACCCCATGTGTGGGTCAAACACTGATTGGTTGAAAAGTTGGCAGGAACGTAGAAGGCAGTCACACCAGTGTTCACGACGAATGAGAGAATTACAAAAAAAAACATCAAAGTTTTTAAAAAATACAATGTGAGAAGTGCAGACAGCATCTGGGGATTTTTTTATTTATTTTTTTTATCAGATTTGATTTGTGATTCTCCACAAGCAGTTTTAATGTGCCGCTCGTCACTGAAATTAAAGTAAATTTTGATAATGTGTCATAAAAAAAGTCCCCAGAGCAGTTTCAGGATGTCTGCTGGGGTTTAGAGGAACTTTGTTAGAGCAACAAATGTGTATTTGGCTGTCGTGACACTTTGTTAGGTTACAGGTAAAACAAAACCAAAACAAAACCGCCTCCTTCTGGCCAAGCTGTGTAGCTCCATCATTATTTGCAGCACTTTTCAGCTTAATTTATTATTGATTACTGATAACTTTGACCTGGGTAAGGATCAGAACTCGTGATCATGAAAGCTAGCTGTTTTACTAAAACTCAGAAATATTTTATACGTTGCTGCCTTCATAGGGGATGCAGCAGTGTTTCAGACCTTTAAATAAGATTTTTAAATGCATTTGAACAGTTTTCTACATTTATTAGAGAGCGATTCCACTTCCTGGTATTCCTAAAGGTGGCTGTAGTTCATCCAGAAGACCAGCAGGGGGCTGAGTGTAACTTTTTCAATGAACTGAATGAATGGAGCCAAACAGCTAATAAAAATGTTTACGTTGTATCTTAGTTTTCGTATTAGTTAGTACCTAGTATTGATAAAATGTCCTAACTTAAGTGGTTAGTTTTTCTTACAGGGAGGCAGATTCGGCTCATCAAATCTTCGCCTTCTGCTGCTTGACTGAGTTTCTTTCTATTAAACAGGAAGTCCATGATTTGGGGACTAGAAGTTAAAATTTAAAAAAGTAATTTTCGCTTCTTCCGTTGTTGGTTTTAATCAGTTTCCACACATCATGTCGCTTTCCTGCTTTATTTTTGTGAATAACCTGATGTAGTGACAGCAAAAAAAGGTGCAAGGGTTTAACAAAAGGTCGACTGTGTCCGTCTAACCATAAATATTCAGAAATTAATTTTAAAAATCAGACGAAGTAACCATGGTCTTAATTAAAACCACAAAGCAGATGAACACATGCTGAGAAAAGCACCTTTAAGTTGTGTAGATAGCCAACTGAGCATTTTTTAAGCTTTATTGTTTGTGTGCTGCTGTTTTGCATCTGTTGAAGAAAAATGTATGAAATTAATTTATTCTGAAGTATCTTAAATCTGCTTAGAAAGTGCAGGCACACAAATATGAACTAAGACACCAGAGACTGGAAGGAAAGCCCGTATTTGCACATGCAGCGATGTTCTGTAGGCAAACGTGTATTTTATTGTAATAAACAGAACACATCAGATGGTGATAAACACACTGCTGTATTTTCTACAGTTTTGAATGGTTCAAAGGTTTAAAACATGTTTAGTTTGTACGACTCCCCATCCTTCCATGCCATCGCCTCAAATAAATGCTTGCATCCACCGTCTGGCTGCTGCTGTGATGTTTTTATTTCTGAACTATCTGTGACCAGGACACATCAGATGTACCTGAACATACCCATTAAATAAAGATGAATGATAAGATTATTGAGATAATAATTAGTTTCTCCTTAATGTTAACCCTTTATAGATGGATGGAGGGACCAGAGGTCACTCTTTTATGAGCACTTGCTGTGTTTCATTGATTATAATGTTGGCTTAATATATGTGGTGTTAATTACTGTGTGGTCCTTCACCTCCTTTATTTTCATGAGATAAATGATACATCCAGCTGCTCTCCCTCTGATTCTAAGTGCTGTAAACATTACAGGTAGAGCTTTAGAAAGCAGTCTTTTATTTTGAAAGGTTTAAGTTAATGTGATGGCATCACACTGCTGTTCTGAACTTGTGTATAGTGTTAGTATCCATATTATAAGTGTTGGTAAGAACAACAGGTTTTGCTCTGAAGGTCAGTTTATCTATTCAAACTAGATGTAATGTGTCCTTTCATTTCCTGTTTATACTGTCAAAATAAATAAAGCCTATTACAGCGCAGTATTACAGTATTAATGTAGATATGCATCGTATGACTCCTGTCAATGCAGGTATGATGTACTGATATTATAGGATACCTGTCCAATGCTTTTCTGCATTTCAGAATAAATGTGCTATGTTTTATTGTTTCAGCAAAATCTCACAATTGGAGAAGTAAATAAAAACAATATTTAATATTTATTTTTTTATATGTTTGTTTTTTCATCTGATTTTATTATTATTAGCATACTGGATCTTCTGGTAATTTTAGAAAAAAATAGAAAAGAAAAAAATATATTTTTTATGTTTTACTTTTGTTGAAATGCCATGAAAACAGCAGTTTATTATTTCTGATTTTCTGATATTATGTATTTCTGATGTAATTCTTTAGAGGATGTGTCTCATTTAACAAACAATAACTTTGTAGGTTCTGTCCATGTGTTATATGTCAGATTTCACTTATTTTATTTAAGAATTAATATTTTTATTTACTTTTTAATTTACTTTATTTGTCAGGTGTGTGTGTGTGTGTGTGTGTGTTTCGAAGTGAAGTATTTTGAAAAAAAAAACAATAATGATGAGTTTTATTTTGTAGGTGTGACCGGAAAGTGAGGTGATTTGTTTTTCAAACTTTATCCTCAACTTTGCTCAAATATATGTTGTTTTAAACATAATTAATTATTAATTAATTATTATTAGTTAGTTAATATTCATTTCTGTAAAAAGTACGGAATTAAGGAAGGAAACTCCATTAATAATCGATTTTACTTTGTAGGTGTAAGCCGGAAGTTGGGCGCAGGTCTTACTTATACCGCTGTGAGAGAAGTAGATGACGCTGTAAACTCTACTTTTCTCTTTTTTTTTATAAAACATTACTGTTTAATAGATGTGTAATAGCTGTATGTGGGTTTTTTTTTAGCAGTGAGTTTTATCTTAAAGTAAGAACAAACCGTTAAAAATCAGCTTTATTTTGAAGGTTTCGATCGGAAGCGGAGTGGCGGTATCACGTCAGAGGCCATGACCATGACGACAGGAGCGCGCGGCTCAGTGTGACAGATGTTGTTCGAGGAGAAACCGCTTTACTAAACTGGGAGACGAAGAAGAGGAGGAGGAGAGCGG